AGAAGTAAAGAGATACGTAGCGCAATGCGAGCTGTGTATCTGCACCAAACCTCTCCACGGTCAACCATCAGTTGGTCTACGGCCTCGATCACCAAAAACAGCATGGGAAACGCTAGCCGTGGATTTAATGGGACCGTATCCATTAACAAGAAAGGGTCATCGTTACATATTAGTAGTGACTGACCTTTTCACCAGATGGGTAGAAGCATTTCCCCTGCGAAACGCCGAAGCGCCTACAATCACAAGAGTCCTAGAAGATGAAGTTTTTTCTCGATATGGATATCCGAGTCGTATTCTCAGTGATAACGGACCACAATTCAGAAGCCAAGCTTGGGCAGCAGCTTGTCAAAAGTGGAACAGTACCTTGTGGACTACCCCCACTTACCACCCTCGAGCAAATCCAACCGAACGGCGCAATCAAGAAGTCAAAAAAGGATTGCGTTTGAGACTACACGAGGGCAACCAACAAATTTGGGACGTCCAACTGCCCAATTTGCTGTTCACACTGCGCAGACGCAAAAACGCGGCTACAGGCTCAACTCCTGGGTATCTGCTATTTGGTCGCGAAATCAAACGACCCGGAGAATTCGACATTCACCCAGCCCTTGAACCAGGCCTGGGCCAAGATCCTGTAGCACAGAGAGAAGAAAAAGCTCGTCTGAATCAGCGAAAATATCAGCGACGCTACGCCGGCCCAATTTCGGAACCACTTTTCCAAATTGGAGATCAAGTCTTCGCTACGAATCATCGGCTGTCCAACGCTGCAGAACATTACAACGCCAACCTAGCTGCGGCCCGAACAGGGCCGTACACTGTGATAGAAGTAATATCACCGGAAGTATTTTGCATCCAGAAGGAAGACGGGAAACATAAGGTACATCAGAGTCAGTTAGTACGAGCACCTTTAGCTCGGCCGGAAAGGAACTTAGGACATCCGGATGGAGTTCAACAACAAGTCATCCTACCGACCGACGATCTTCTGCCACTCGAGCCCATTCTCGAAACAGAGGACGATCTCTCGAATCATCTCACACCCTCAGGTCCGGATGATCATAGATCAAACAACATTGCTCAGACAGATAAACAACTGACTGATACCCCAGTAGCGGTATCCACAGTAGAACGTTACGCAGCTGAACAAGCTCCGCTCGGTTCTACACAACAACAAGATGGAGGTGTTCCGGAGGGAGTACCAATTTTGGAGCAGCATAAGGCTGAACAAGCCCCAGCTACAACAGCTGCAGCTGAACAAGCTACAGCGAACCACGAAGCAGACATCGAACCAACATCTGACGTCACACAACAGCGATATCCTTCTCGACGTCGTACCGATGCTTTATATCGGGATGCGCGTTGGTATGCGCCCCGAACTAAGAAAAATTAAATGATAACTACTACTCGATCAATGATAGGATGAAAAGATCCCCTTAAATGGGGCCAATTGTAAACGGTTGTTTAATTTAATTTTTAATTAAATAATCATTTAAGATGCACTTTCCATCCCATTTTTCTCGAGTAAGGAAAATCATAACTTTATTGAGAATTATAACCATAACTGTGTATTAATTGTATAATATAAATTAATATATATCTCTATATATTAATATATAATAAACTATAATTAATACAGTTATATATAATTCTTAATATAAGAAATTTATATTGATTACTATTTTTATTATTATAAGTTAGAATCAGAATCAGCAAGCAGTACAATTTCTCCATTTTCCTTTCACTTTTCCGTGCCCAGCGCACAGCCCATTTTCTTTCATCCACGCTTCCCCTTTCTCTCTTACTCTTCTCTCTCCGTCTTACCCATACGTCCGTTATTTTAAGAAATTCTATGTAAGATTGAGTTCTCTCGCATCCGACATGCTTCATTACCCCTATAAAAGGCGGGGGTGCGAGACCACCCAGTCAGTCGATCACTCACTTGCACTCGATGTTGATCCTCTCCTCTACCGAATAAAGTTCTTTGCAACTCAATTCACCAGAGTACTTTTATCATTTTTGCCGAGCCTGAAGTGTTCCTCACCTCACTCGACGATTTTTGGGTCTTGCTGTGTTCACAGTAAGTACTGATTTACCCTTCTCCGGTATTACCGATACGGAAGAGTCCCTCTTCCGAAAATCGTAATCCGAGAAGACGCTGATAGGTGTCTCACCTTGTCGTCCAACTGTACGGAAGAGCCCCTCTTCTGCAAGGTTTGACGACGAGGTGATACTCGTACGGTACGTACCCGTAGAGACGCGCTATACGGAAGAGCCACTCTTCCGAAAATAGTCGCCACTGCGTGTGCACTCCAGAGCGAGCCGTCTCCCCGCGGTCCGCCGAATTAACGGAAGAGTCTCTCTTCCGCGATTCCGTACTACGGGAGACCACCTATCTAACCTCGTTTCGTCGTTCGTAACGGTACGGAAGAGCCTCTCTTCCGAGCCGCCGAGCGCATTTTTAGCACCAAGAAAAAAACAAACTATTAGACCGCGCAGTCGCTAAGGCTGGAGTCCCATGGTAGCGTTTTGCGTTGCGTTTTGTAACTAGGCCATGAGTGCAAATAGAGTAAACATATATCTGTATCTCTCTCACACTCATTGCCTAGTTACAAAACGCAACGCAAAACGCTGCCATGGGACTTCAGCCTAAGGGCGAAATTCGCTCGAGAAGTCTCTGCGTTGCGCGTAAATTACGGAAGAGTCCCTCTTCTGCGCTTACGCAACAACGTATGACCGGCCCTCGAGACGTGCCGATCGCCGGTAGTATACAGAAGAGTCTCTCTTCTGCCTTATTACCCGGTAACTACTTTTTCCATAACTATTTTTTCTTTCTACCCAAGTCGAATCGGTTTTTCCTCGTTTCGCACCCTTTGACCGTGTCATCCACACCGTGACCGGTATCAATATATATATATATATATATATATATATATATATAAACTTCAAATTTTAGACAATTTAATATTAAAATTTTTTTAAGTTTGAATTTAATTTTGAAATTTTTTGCAATTTATTTATAATTTAAAATTAAGAATAAAATTATTTTTTAAAAATTGAAAAATTTTACAGAGATTTTATAACTAATTATAATTAAAAAATGTTATTTTAAAAACTATAAAATATTTTGTATAACTTTTAAAAAAATGATTTTTTTAAAAATTAATATTCAGTATATTGACATTTCTCACAAGCGCAGTTTTAATCTGCTCAGTTAGTATATAAAGAAACTCAATTCTTTCATCTACAAGTGCGAGTTATATTGTACATACGTTAGTTGCGTCAGAATTCGTTTATATGTATGCGTATTTCCGTTAAGTTAGTGTTAGAATAAAATAAGCCAATCAAAGCGAACCATTGCGTTGTAGAGTGCAGTCACATGTGTCAAACCAATCATCTATCTCCTATAGAAGACGAGAAAAAATGGTCTTGAGAGCTCATTGGTACTTTAAGAAATTCTTTTTTCTGCTTCATTCGTTTTTTTCTCCGTGAATATTTTTTTCCGTGGCGCATGCGCTTTAAGCTAAACATTTTACAAAACTCTTGAATAAGGCTATTCAAGTTCGGTGGGGGAAAATTGAAGATGGATGCTAACTGGTGCACCAACATTGTATAGAAAGTATATGGGATAGAGTCTAATTTTTTAAATATCTCGCTTAAACGAAATTTTTAACCATAAGTTTATTAGGATTTTATGTTTCATTTTTAAAGAACTATTTTTTGCAATAATAAAATCAATAAAAAAATAAAATCGATTTTTATTATTGCAAAAAATAGTTCTTTAAAAATGAAACATAAAATCCTAATAAACTTATGGTTAAAAATTTCGTTTAAGCGAGATATTTAAAAAATTAGACTCTATCCCATACACTTTCTATACAATGTTTGTGCACCAGTTAGCATCCATCTTGAATTTTCCCCCACCCAACTTGAATAGCCTTATATACCTGGTCATGGCTGAATATACACAGCGCAACGCTAGTATAAGTGCCAATGTTCAACACTACTACTACTACAAAACTCTTGAATTAGAACATCCAACCGATCATTTGTGAATTCCACAGAAGTTTTTTTGAGTTTTCGAGAAACGCAGTCATCATATATTACTATTGATTCTGTTTTAACTTATACTAAACTCCTCTCCGTATCCGCTATTCCAAAATTAGTTTCGTAAAATGTACTAAATTAATTTTTTCCGTGTTCAAAATAGCGGATCCAATATGGAATACAAGTTGTGTAAAAATTGATCGGACTTGTTCGTAATCCATTTTTTTAAAATTGATTTTGAAATGTATCATCAAGTACATAATCAGCGGCCCTACAAACTGCAAAAACAAGTGTCTCATTTTGAGACGTTTTGTCCACATATTTGAAACACATTTAGATGTCTTGGATCCAAGATTGGATTTCTACTGTTCGTAAGATTTAACTTGACCCCCCCCCTCCTTCCTCTTAAAGCCTTACGTAGTTTGTGTATGGCCCCTAAACGGCGCACATGTTCTCCTTTATATTTTGCAGGGATTATTTTGTCATCATATGTAACCATTTGATTTAATAAAAGATTCAAAATTTGAGGTACAAAAGAAAATAAAATTCACAAACGTCAAATATAAAACTGAATTCAGACTATAATATTAATTTCTTGTAATGATCATTGGTGACAAAACAAAAATCATTCACAAAATTCATAAATACTTGAGAGTTAAAAATGAACAAAATAAAAAATTATTATCTTGAATTGTTAGAAATAAAGTCCAAAATCATTTAATACAATTTACATTTCTAACATTATAGCATAACATTTTTTTATTAAACATGATTTGTCCTCATGTTTTAATAATAATTTTGATTTAACTACTGGAAAACAATAATGTAATAATAAATAAATAATTTTCTAAGTAAGAAACAGAAGAAAGATTATAATTTGATTCTTATTCTTTTTCCTTTGCAATAAACTTGACAATAGTTAATAAATATAAATTTAATTAATAATCTTTGATGTAACTTACAATTATGAGTTAAAGACGAAATTTCCAGTGTACTGCATTTATATCTGTATCTTGTCTCCAAAGTGGGAATTATGATGCCAACAACGTGATTAGAATCCTTTTCGTGATAACACACTATCGCGTCACACTCTTTTCCATCTAAAAAAATTAAATAATTTTCAGTAACTTGTGTTTTGTATTGATAAATAATCAAGGCATTTGAAATAAAAATAAAATTATTTGTAATATTAACAAATAAAGTTTAAAATTTATTGTAAATGTATTGAGTTAGTGTGATACAATTTTTAGTGTTGTGCTCTGGAACCGACAAGTTCCTTTAGGTTGTCAAAGCTAGACTGGTTAAAAAGATGTATTACAGGTAATGAGTTGTTCAAAAATGTACATTTGGCAACATCTGAATTTTGTAATCAAAATTTGTCAACGTAGCGTTAAAAAATGTGGGGGTAAAAAAGGAACAAATAAAGAGTGGGATGGATTCGTAGGTATAAAAAATTCTCAGTGCAATTTAGTGAAAGCAATTAAGCATAATCCTGCCTCTACGGTTCAATATTCGTAATAAAAGTACAGATATGACCATCATGTTGTAACTATTTTGGATTAAAGTTATAAAACAGTAAACTCTTGAACAATTTCTAAAGAAGGAGGCAGAACATACTGACCTTTTTGAACAATTAAAGTTCGAAACAAAGAAATTAGACATTAATATTTGTAATAAAAATTAATTTTATAACCAACGGTAAAGTTTGGTCAAGAAAAACCTAATGTTCATTATTTCCTAATTAATTGGAAGAGGATATAACTTTTTCAAAGCATGTTTATAAGTTCTAGATGCAGTTTTTATTGTAACAGTTCGCACTATTCCATCTTGACACGAGTGTAATTCAATAATACGTGCAAGTTTCCACTTCATTGGTGGAAGATCATCTTCTTTGGCGATAACCAAAGTGTCGAGTTTTATATTGCTTTGATCTATGTCCGATTGCCACTTGCTCTTGGATAATAATTCATTAATGTATTCTAGGCGTTATAAAATGCCAGCTGACTCCCTTTTCACATAGATAATTTTGTCCTTTTTTATCTCGCGAAATTAAATCAATTTCCTTCAAAAGATCTTTTAAAATCGTATTAACACCGTCAAAATTTGTTGCATTATCTGAATGAAGTAGGTTTGACACACCTCGTCGTGCAAAAAAACGTTTGAGACAAGAGAGGAAGGCTTCAGTACTCAAATCATTTACTATAATTCCAAGTGAACCGCTTTAGTTGCAAAGCATAATTGCTGTAAAGCATAATTTTGACGCGCACTTGTAGTTTTTCTAGTTATATAAAAAAAAGTAAATTTTTCAGCTTCATTATTCAGTTGTTTATTAAACATTTTTGTGTAGAGAACAATTTTAAATATGTATTTTTGTATAATGTTACTTGTTTTCGAAATACACTACCACCGTTTACGAGTATCAGGACGATTACACGCGACTCTATGAAAAAACATGCCATCACTTTTTCAATCATATCTTGTAAATAAAAGGAGATACAAAAAAATCTTAAAGTTGTCTTAGAGTTGTCAGAGTTGAATTTCAATGCACTAATCGGTCGAAACACGGCTTCAAATTTTCAATGATATATCGAAGACGGATTCTAGATTTTTAAAAAAGTTGAAGTCAACTGACAAAAATGAGAAAATTTGATAATTTTTTTATTTATTTCTCACTCTACAACTCAAAAAATAGTTAACGAAATGACTTCAAAGACGGCTTATTTTACGCAAAATTTAATCAGCTTTCTAACCGTATTAAAGTTTTTTTTGTATCTCCTTTTATTTACGAGATATGATTGAAAAAGTGATGGCATGTTTTTTCATAGAGTCGCTTGTAATCGTCCTGATACTCGTGGACGGTAATGTTTATAATATGCATATAAATAAAATATCATCGTGATGAGATTGATGAACTATGTTGTAGTATATATGTCTTTATTGTTTTTATACGCGAGTTTATTGTCATTCCGGTTTTATGCTGCGAGTGAGGCGATCGGTTGAACATAGCTAATACGAGACACGTTGCATTTTTGCATCCAATTACCCAACTGCATGCGACTACTACCGGATATTTTATTTTCATTTGCTGTCTATTGTTTCACGATACACAATGAATTTCGAATCGTAGGGCGTTTGTCGAATTTGCCGCAGTTCGCAATTCAATTCGCCTATCCTCTTTGCAATGCGTTATCCACTATATCTCTATATTTGAAATGTCCTTTAAATAAGATCACAAACCTTTTTCAAAATAATTCACTTCAAAATTTTTTATAATACAGTTGTTCTCTTTTATTAAATTTCTTTGGAAAAGTTTTTTCCGCTCGGTTATAATTGATTTCTTAATTTGGTTTCTAATTTATTTATATTTTTATATATATAAGAAAATATTTAATCATTTACTACTCAAAATAATATTTGATAATTTTAAATTATATTTATAAAAGCAGTAATAATTAATTACTAAAATTATAAGTAGCTATTTTATAATCAATAATTTATATAACATACTTTGTTAATTGAATCTGAATAAAATATTATTGTCGTTGTCGAAAACGATTCAATATTAATTATATTATATACATATGTAGTATAATATATTTTTATTGATTTAATATAAATTTAAGTTAGTAATAATATTATCTATAACCTTTTACTTTAAAAAATTAGTAATAAAATTATTAATATATAAAACCAAATTGCTTTATTTCCGGCAGATTTAAAACAAGTTTATTTAATTGGAAAAGTGAAAGAAATTTTTTTTAAACGCATGCAATTTCAATGTAATTAACATTACGCTACTGTGATTTGTGGGATGTGGTAATTATTGTACAATTAGTAGACGAAGGTGCAGATGATTTGCATATACCAAACAAAACTGATTAACGATTTTAGTCAGCATTCTTGCAATCAGGGAATTAAATACGACTGACTAAAATCGACCACGTTCACTGCGTTTGCATTCTCATTGATGAAGATAATAATTGCAGATAAAAAAATATTATTGTTACCTATAATGACCTTATTTAGGTATTTGTATTAATTATTTTTTACGTTTTCACATAAGAAAAATATATATAAATTATACAATTATAATAATACAATTATGATTTCCATAATAAATAATATATTAAACTATAAATAATTAGTATGTTTCATATCTTAAAAGAGGACGTTAAAAAAATACGTAACGCTTACAGGGGTAGGGGGCGCTAATGTATGCAAAAATGCGTTACATAGGGGATAGGGGGGTAAAATTTTCTAAAAAAAGCGTTACGTATTTTTTGAACGGCCCTAAATATATATATCTTTCTTCTCTCTATATTACAAAAAGATTTCGCCGCCGGATTCAGTGTCCTGAAGTTGTCCACAAATGGTCAAATGTCAAAGGTCATCGCTCTGAAGTTGGTCTCAGGTCACAGACGTAGGTCAAGATGTAAACATAACCTCAAAATCAGGTCAAGGGTCATCGCTCTGAAGTTGGCCTCAGGTCACAGACGTAGGTCAAGGGGTAAACATAACCTAAAAATTAGGTCAATGGTCATCGCTCTGAAGTTGGCCTCAAATGGCTATAGTATATGAGGAGCTGCATCGAAGAACTCGCTCGCCGCTCGGCGAACCTCTTTGAAGACAGTCAGTGGCCCAAAAATTGAAAAAAATTCAATTTCAAATTTTTGAATTTTGAAAAGTCCTACCTTATAGGAAATGATAAGGCGCATCTTTTTTTCCTTTGGCGTTTTTTCGTAAAATTATTATTTTCGATGATAAAGAAGAAAAACTGAAAAATTTTAGTTGACAAATTCAATTAAGTTTTAAAACATAAATCATCATATCTCCGAAAGTTATTAACAAATTCAATTGCAATTTGGTATGTAAACTTATTATGGCCTATTAATGGCGAAAATACAATAAAAAGTTGAAAAATCATTAATTGTTTAATAATTTGTTATTAATAATGAAGGCATGTCGAAAATCACGATTTCTCATTTTCGAAGACAAAAAGTCTGCAGGGAACTTTAGAATTGAGAGAACTTCCAGTGAAAGATTTGTTCAATAGTATGTGAGGAAGTTTTCTGTAAAATTTAAAATTAATTCATTAAAAACTTTGGCAGATACAGAAGTTTTAAGAAAGCGCTGTTAGCGCGTAAGTACGTCCTCTCGTTACTCGCGCTACGCTGATGCATTCTGTACATGAGAAATATGTTTTGTTTAATTTTTTGCAACTCTTAATTACTTTTATGAATAGTATTAAACATAAACAATTTCAGTTCATCTACAATTTATTTACATATTAATTACATACTATAATGAACAATTGTTCATGGTATTAACAAAAAGCATTTTAAAAAAATTATATATTCTAATAATATAAAATAATTAAAATCAGAAAATATAAATATAATATTCTTCTGCATCTGCCAAAGTTTTTAATGAATTAATTTCAAATTTTACAGAAAACTTCCTCACATACTATTGAACAAATCTCTCACTGGAAGGTCTCACAATTCTAAAGTTCCCTGCAGACTTTTTGTCATCAAAAATGAGAAATCGTGATTTTCGACATGCCTTCATTGTTATTAACAAATTATTAAACAATTAATGATTTTTCTACTTTTTATTGTATTTTCACCATTAATAGGCCCTAATAAGTTTACATACCAAATTGCAATTGAATTTGTTAATAACTTTCGGAGATATGATGATTTATGTTTTAAAACTTAATTGAATTTGTCAACTAAAATTTTTCAGTTTTTCTTCTTTATCATCGAAAATAATAATTTTACGAAAAAACGCCAAAGGAAAAAAAGATGCGCCTTATCATTGCCTATAAGGTAGGACTTTTCAAAATTCAAAAATTTGAAATTGAATTTTTTTCAATTTTTGGGCCACTGACTGTCTTCAAAGAGGTTCGCCGAGTGGCGAGCAAGTTCTTCGATACAGCTCCTCATATTTAACATAACTTCAGGTCACAAACGTAGGTCAAGAGGTAAACGTAACCTTAAAATCAAGTTAAAAGTTATTGCGGTCACAGACGTAGGTCAACAGCTAAACATAACCTCAAAATCAGGTCAAAAGTTATTGTGGTCACAGACATAGATGGAGAGACGAACATAACCTTAAAATTAGGTCAAAAGAGGGCCTATTAAATCGACAAATTTCCTTATATCTTCTGGAGTTAGATCAAAATGTAGGTCAAAATTGACCTATTTATTAACTTACACATAAAAAGGCCTCATTAAGGCCTTTCAAGAGATCAAAATTTAGATGAAATTCTACCTTTTTCAAAGTAAAGGGGCCTAAACGTAAATTAGGTAAAAATTTATTTTAAATTTGCCTTATTTATTAACCTACACATCAAAGGAAGCCTCATTAAGGCTGTAGGGATCAAAATTTAGATAAAATTCAACCTTTTTTAACGTAAGGGGGGACATTAAGGAGTCGTTATCGTACGTCACAATTAATGTCAACAGTGTCAAAAATTAAATTCTCCTGTTTTCTTGATTCTTAAAATTATTTATTTCATCGAATTTTTTTCTATGATATATAACAGGAAAGTAACGAATTTTTTAACTCAAAATGTAAATAAAAAGAAATTAGTCATGTGTTATATTTCGGACCTGATTAATTCTGCTCCTTCCAATAAAAAATTGTTCAGAAAAATTTTTGAAAAATTATAATGTCTCATCAGCTAAAAATCATTTCTCAATCAAAATTTCTATAAGTTAATTCCTTCTCCTGTTAGTATTGATTATAAAACATTAATATAATTTTGCATCATTTTTTAGAATTTTTATGAATTTTATATAATCTTTACATAAGACATGACTAATTAATTTTTATTTAGATTTTGAGATACGAAATTGGTTACTTCCCCGTAGTGTATCTTGGATACAAATTCAATGAAACAAATAATTTTAACAAACACTAATTTCGCTGAATTTGGATAAAAACCAATATTAATAATAAATATTATTACTTAATTCTTAATTTAAAACTTAATTTTAAAATAAAAATAGGGGGTTGGCGCGCGGAGCCCCCCTAGTATATATATATAGTATATATATTCATTTATCTGTTTGGTACTAATTTTTACAACTGTAATTATAAACTTTCTTACATGTACTTCTTTTTATTTAATGAGAAACAGTAAATAAAGAATTAAAAATAAAAAACTGAAATTCCACGTACCATATAAAAATTAATCAACCGAATATAATTAGCTCATCCTCATTCCAGTAAACTCGTACATTTTAAAACAACGAGACAGACAATTCGGGTTTAATGATCGTAATTTTATTCTCCGTGAGTTTTTTCCTTTGTTTTTTCTGCTTTTCCTTTTTTGTTACATTGTGTGTGTGTGAGTACAAGGGGAGTAAAACATTATAGGAGCAAAGTACAGGCGGAATGTAGAATTAAGCTTGCAGTTAAGCCGGTAATTAGGCTAGTGAAAAAGTATGTGACTTTGTGATAATTACCGTTTTCCTCGAGAGAAGCGAATTTGTCTCGGCAGAGAAGAGCCAAGGGTAGCCCACATCGGGCGTAAAAAGCACCCGCTGAACACAGAAGGATCAGTACGAGGACCGCAAGGAGAAGGGATTTTCTCCATGATCCGTTTGGTAATCCTAGAGTGAATTGTGGCTCTGTGAAAATAAAAAACGTTTCAGAGTTATATAATATATACTAGACGACAAATTGCGCGCGCAAGCGCGCGCCAACAGTTTTTCGAGTTTGACGATGAAAAATTAATTTTCATAACATAATTAAAAAATCAAATAATTAAACATAATTTATAAAAAATAGACATATTTATATAAAATAAATTATCATATTTTGTTTATTATAAAAAACATTTATTACATGAAGTAATACGAACAAAATCATAAAAAATTAGGCCTAATTTCCACAATTTTTGATTTTTCAAATACCAATAATTTGATAATTTTTCACCGAATCAGGTTCAAAAATATGTCAATCGAAGCGTTTTTTAATGCTCTACAAGTTGGTAATGATACTTTTAAAGTTACTTTTATATTTTTCAACAAAATTTTCAAAAAAGTGTTATTTTCGAAAAATTTAGATTTTTAAAACTTTAATATCTCCGGCTAATATAGACGAAAAATGTTCAATGAAGGCTCAAAAGATGCGTCTGAAAAAACTCTACAAAACTAAAGAAAAACATTTATAGGTGTCCTAACATTGTTTTTAAGTTATGGCCAAAAAACGTTTTTTTACAAAATGAAAAATGCAAAAAAAATATAGTTAAACTTTATGAATCGTGTTGTCGCCGTAAGAAACAACTAATATTATTATTTTTGGTGAGTTGGTTACTCAACTGAGAGCCAACTCTACTTTATTTATTTAACAAGTAAAAGTACAAAAACTTGGAGATAATCAATCCTTCCAATTCTTCACTGAGCCTTATTGGAAGACAAACGTGCTATCACTTTGAGTAGCGACTAATTAATCTAACCACACCTGCTTATGCTTTAGTTTTTAAGGACTGTGAACTCGTCCCCACTCTTTACAATACACACTCATACTTCATACTGTCGACACCTCCCCCCTTTAAATTGTCGATGATTTTTAAATGAACATTTATTTAAAAATTCGATGCTGGTTTCCTTCTAGGAGGTTTCAAATATAATTCAAAATTTAATCCTTGCAGATTTTTCTCAATAGCTACATGCTGAGTTGGACCTGTATTATTGAAACTACAATTTGTGTAACAATTCCCAATACAATATCTTATCAAATTTAAAATACACTGTATAATTCCCGTTTTAAACATTAAATAGAAGATTATAATTACAATACTTGCATATCCTATATACTCTAAATATGTCAAAGACTTTTCTGTCCAACTCTTAAATCTTTCATGTGTTTTTATTTTATCTAACATCGTTTCAGTATCTTCCATACTAATTTTTGCTTCTTTTATTCTATCTAAATTAAGAATTCTTGGTAATTTTGGTAATTTATCGTTAATTAATTTTAAGTCATCTTTCTCAAAATCTAATTCTATTGTGATTGTGTCCTCGAAATATTTAGTTATATTTCTTATCGATTTATTAAGATCTAGTTTTATTTAATTTGTATATAGCTTACATCTATTCCCTGTTATTAGAAAAGTACCCAATTTTTTACCATTATAATTATTATTTTCGCACACTATATCTATAACTGTCTCTTTTACAAATATACATATATAACCTATTTCTGTTTTCATAAACGTTTCATCGCTGAGTAGTAAAGGAGATTTTAGACAATTCTTATTTGACATTTTTATTAAATCCGCGTCACAATTTTCTGTTTGATACGTTAAATAATTCGGTTGATTTCTCTTACAAATTTTATAGTCTTCTATAGTACTACATTTTTCTAAATCTGTCTTGTCAATCAGTATGTATTCAGTTTTCGTTTGTAAAATATATTCGTGGTTTGGTAAAAACACCATAGCTTGACCATTAATTATTTGTTCTGAAATTGGTTAATTTCTTACTATTGTCATTTCTTCTTCATCTAAAATCGGAATTTTAATTATGTATACTAAGTGATGATTTTTAATAATTGTAGTGATATCACTAATGTCTATAATATGTTGATAGTTTCTCTCATCGCTTTCGATGTGATATTTAGTTATAAATTCCTTTTCAAATCCATCAATAGTTTCATGCAACATTTTAGGCGTTAGAATTTAAGGATTTATAATACCATGTTTCCCTAGATTAATTGAACTTATTGCTAAATCTATGTCATCGTTCATTTCTTCTATTAAAGTTTCGACTATCAATAATTTTTGCTGTATAAACAAGCTCTTTTTGTTATTATTTATTTCTGCTTTCATTTGGTTGAACATATCGTAGTCTGCTACAAGTTTATTTTCTAAGAACTTATAATCTTGAGATGACGAATCTAAGATCATTTTTATTACTTTAGTATTGTTTTTTATTGCTTCATTTAAAACCTTATTATCATTATATAATTGATCAAATTCTTTATTAATTATATTTAAATCTGAATCGCTTAATGTCCCAAATAATATTTTTGATGCGTCTCCTATTATATTTAAAAGTCCTCTTTTAACTCTTTGTTTACCCATTATGTTATATAATAGTGATTCTTTTTCCCTTAAACGACTAAATCTAGAAGCGATAGTTTTAATTTCGTAATTTTCTTGACATTTAGTCATGCATAGATGACTAACCTGTGTTAATATTTTTTGAATAACAACTATTCTATCTTCAGTTCTCGTAACATTTATCATAATCACCATTTTTCATTCCTCTGAATATAAGTAGGCTTTTCCTATTTCTTCCTTATATATATTGCCTTTTAATTCCGTCATATTATAATCAGTTTCTGCTACAACCAGCACGAGGTTCATTATCAAAATCTTCATCAGAATTGCCATTGTTGTCGTCATCCAAATCGTCTTCTTTACTATCTAAAACAAAATATTTCTTAATATCTTCTCTATGTACCTTTCTATTATTTTCTATCGTGTATGTATTCCCAATTTTATGCAAAACTACATGTGGTCCTAACCACAAAGGGTTTCCTTTTTTTCTCATATGATTTCTTATCAATATTTGTTCACCGACTGCAATTGTCTTTTTATCAGTCAGAATTTGTTTTCTTTGAGATTCGTTGATTTTTCTTCTTGCAACATGTAATTTGTTTTCATGTTCTAATTGTTTTAATTATTTTTTCTTTACGAGGTTCGTTATTTTGTTTGCTGTTTCAAATGCTTCTCTTGCTTTTCTGCCATTCTGTAGTTCAAACGGAGAAAATCCTATAATTCTGTTTATTGTCATATTGTATGTTAACATTGCATTAGGTAACTCTTTATCCCATTCATCTTTTTGCGCATAAATACTTAAATATTCGTTAATCTTCTTGTGTAATCTTTCATTCTTTCCATTACTTTGTGGGTGATAAAATGAAGTTTTTACATGTTTTATTTTTAAATCTGAGAATTCGTTATTAATAAATTCTTTTCCATTATCAGTAAGTATTTCTAAGGGTTTTCCGTTCGTTTTCAAATATCCTCTCCACATAGCTTCTATGACTAAAGTTGCTGATTTGTCCTTCAATGATTCCAAATGCACATATCTAGTCAAAAAATCTTGAATCACCAAAATGTATTTATTTCCGCTCGTAGTTTCATTTAATGGTCCCACTAGATCTATTGATATTTTATCATTTGGTCCTTCTGGTATATCTGATTCTTCATAATATTCCTGCTTTCTTTCATTTTGTTTAAATCGTTGACATAGATCACATGTTTTGATGAAGTCTTCAACATCTTTTGTAATGTTGGGCCAGTTTGTCATATTTCTTATCTTCTGTATTGTAATATCCTTAGAATAGTGCCCTCCTAATATTCCTTCATGTGATTCTGCTATAATTTTTCTTCTATTTGTTTCAATGTGTTTCTTTATTAAATATATTTCCTTATCACCGCTTTTCCATATTTTAAAAAGAATTCTTGATATTTTGCTTTCATCTATATCTTCGTAAATAATTCTTATTCTTTCTTCTCTAGTTTCTTTTTCTAAAAATTCTGTTAATTGCTCATTTGTCACCTGAGGACTAATTTTTATTCTGTTATCTTCTTCTGTTTCTTCGTTCGTTATCCAAATTTCTTTTATCCTTGTCGGTCCAAATTCTTGTCTTATGATTAACTGTCCGGTTTGTTCTATTTTATTTCTTTTCAATCGTATTTTATTCGCGTCATCATTTTCTATTTGAGGTATATCTCTTATCCATTGTACTTCTGTTTCCTCGTTAAAATCTCTTACTACTTTGTATATAGCTCTTTCTTTGGGTATTGTTTTCCTTCCATAAACTAATATTTTCCAAATATAATTTGTGTTTCTTATAGGTTTAAGTATACTTCTCAAATTACTTATCGGTTCCAAAAGAGAATAATTTTCATATCCTTGTCGTTTTTCTTTAGTACCTGTAATCAATTTTATAGTCTTTATTACTTTAAATTCATCTTTAATTATTGATTGATCACTTTCTTCCGTCTGTGAATCTATTTCCATATTTTCGTTTTTATTTTCGTCATCAACTATTGAATTGTCGTCTTCTGTTTGCGTATCTATTTCCATGTTATCATTTTCTTCGTTTACACCTGTAGTACGCGCGTTCTGCTGTTCTAACGTGTCATATGTACCATCTGTTGTCATCTGAACCCTTGGAATTCGCGATAAGGCGTCAGCGTTTGTGTTAGCAACTCCTTTCTTATAAATAATTTCATAATCATATTCTTCCAATTTTAGTCTCCATCTCATTAATCTGCTTGTCGGATCTTTTACATTAAATAACCAAACTAAAGGTTTGTGATCTGTTACAATTTTAAATCTTCGTCCAAAAAGATGGTGCCTAAAATGTTTAACTGCCCATACAATTGCTAATAATTCTTTTTCAGTCGTCGTGTAATTTATTTCAGCTTTATTTAATGTTCTTGAAGCAAATGCTATTGGTTTATCTTCTCCGATTTGTCCTTGTGATAAAATTGCTCCTAATCCTTCATTTGATGCATCAACTCTATCTGGATTTGGCTTTATACCTTCTTTTGTAATAACATGACCTAAATATTCCAATTCTGGTCGCAAATATTCGCATTTATCAG